TGAGTGTATACATACAAATATACATACAAATACTTTCTCATATATCACGTTTTAACAAATCAGTTCATTACTTTACTGTTATTACTGTTTACTTGAAGATGATCTGTTTTGATGGCATTTGTTATTGTTTTGTTATTATTATTATTTGGAGTGCAAGTGTTTTTTTGGAATTCTGTTGAATGAATGAAATATTTTAATCATTGGACGGTGTTGTGAGCACATTTCTTAAGATTTTTTAAAGAAAACAGTTGAAATTTTGATTTCCTGTAATGCGAGAAATATTAATTTTAATGATAATTTGATAATAATTGGGTGAATTTTCGATAAATTTATGGTTTTATCAATAAAATTAGATAGTAATAATGATAAGTAATAAGGGTAATATGGTGTATTCCAGGCTGAAGAGGCAACAGACGATTCAAAGGAGTAGAAGGAGAAGGGTATTGCGCTGAATGCGGAGAGGTTTTAGCCTGATTAGATCTCAATTGATTAGAAGATATCCATTGAATAGGCCGAATTGTTTTGGTGGATTTTGCCTATCCACCAGTGGATTTAGTAGCTTCACAACTCAACGGCAGCTAGCCGTCAAACCTGCGGGTAGAGGTGATCAGATTACAAAAAGTAAAAGCAAAAATTTGAGCCAAAAATCGCGAGAAATGGACAAATTTTTGGTGCGTAAACCAGCCAAAAGCCAGCCTCAGCTTGAGCTTGAGCCTGAGCAGGCCAGCGCGCCCAAATCGCCGAAAGTGTCGAAAATTTCGGAGGAAACTAAGCAGCCAAAAACAGAGAAAAAGGACAAGGAGAGCGATGGCGCGGGCCGGAAAACTGAAGCAGCGATTCAAGGAGAGAATGGCCACCAAAAGGATGACAAGAGCAACAAGTTGGTCATAATAATAATAATAATTATAATAATAATAAATCACAAAAAAATTACAAGCCAAATGCAAGGGAGAGGGGCGAAATTTTAAAGTTTTGACTTATCTAGAGGATTGAGATTGGCTAGAAGACGGTACCAATAGCGCAGTGGTAGTGCGCTTGATTTTCGCACAGGCCTTGGGGGGTTCGGTCCCCGGCAGCGGCGACTGATAAATTTTTTGATTTTTTTGCAGGATTCCGTATTTACGGCTGGCTAAAACGCTGGAGAGAATCGAGAACACATCGTCAAGGTTAGTTTTTTCGATTTTTTAAAAAATTTTCGGGGGGTATGAGGAGTTTTGGGGCTTAAAAAGCACCTTTTTGCTGGTAAATTAGGCGAATTTTTGGGATTTTTTCACGGAAACTAATATTTTTGGGCATTTTTTAGCCTGATTTTAATGTCAGCTTTTAGATTTTTAATTTCAGGTTGGAAATAATTCGAATTTTGAGTGAGTTTTTCGCGGAAACACTCCGCCAGGATGCACACGAGCTCACAGATTGTGTCTATTTGTGTGTGAATCAACTGGGTCCGGCGTACGAAGGTCTTGAGTTGGGTATCGCTGAGGGAACGCTGATTAAGGCTATAGCTGAGGCAACAGGCCGCAAGGTAAGGATTCCGGGACAATATTTTTGATTTTTTCCGATTTCTAGTCAATTTTTTCGATTTCAGGTAAATTTTCCGTCAATTTCAGGTCACTCAAATCAAAGAGGATCTAAATGTGAAAGGT